CTTTTTTTTTGTCCTTCTCATACTGTTTTACTTTTCTCCTTGTTCTCATCACCCACCTCCCCCTTTTTCTCCTAGTTCATTGTTCCCCTCTTCTTCCTCTCTACCTCCTCTCCTACTCATCCTCATCCTTCTCCTCCTTATATTCTGCCTTCCCCTACTAGCTGTGAAAGGTGTTTCAGCTCACAGCTTCTTTGATGCTATGTGCAGAGCATTTTTCACAAAAAGATTGTTGGGTCTTCTACTTCAGCCTTTCATTTTCTAGAAATCTTGTGGAAATGTCAAATGAGATCTACATTTAATTATGCAAACTGACCAAAGTTAGCTACATATACATGTACTGGAATTTTCATGACTGCCATTTGCATTAGATGATCATCAGACGACATGAAGTATAGTCCTTAACAGCATACACACTTGAATGATAATGCATATTATTATCATTTCTAAGGCATCCACTCAAAATGTGCGAAACTGCATTGGTTTAATGCCTCTTGCAGCACTGTATGGTTATAAATTTCAGAGGCGGTGTCTCCCAGTTTAACACACATCTCCAAAATGACCCAGCCAAATGGAAAAATTCGAGCAAAGTGTCTTTCCCAAAGACACAACATCCGACCCAGCTGAGCCTCGAACCCCCGAACTCACATTACGATGATCTTCGATTACGAGTCTGGCAGCCTCTTAGTCTTAGACTACCCACACCACATTGCAATCAGCTCACTACCTCTTAATCTTTCTCCACATGCAAAAAGAGTAGATCTTGGTGTTTAATGGTTCCCCGGAATCAAGATTAAATTCCATGAACACGGAAAACCTGAAATATGGACCAATGTAAAGTAATGATAAAGGAAAAAAAAAGAAAGCCAAATCTGAATTATTCTAAAGCTAGGTATAGAGGCGAGGGATAAAGGTGTTAACTGCTACCTGTACTTCTATCAAAATTTGACCACTTTTGATCAGAGTGAAGAGAGTGTACACGCGTGAATATCTTGACTTCGTACATAAGACAATCTGGTTTATTTTATTGGGTATTTTGGTTGGGGTTTTTTCCGGTTATTTTTCTGTTGTGTAAGTGTCCGG